GGCGGCCGTTGCCGTGGCAACGCCGCTCAACACAGGGGCGGGCGGGAAGGGGTTAGGCCGGGGCACGGCCTGCGGCAAAGCGAGCCGCAGGGCGATGTTTAGCCCTCTGCTTCGGGATGCTAAAAGTGTGCGTGGGCTCAGGGGGAGCTGGCGAGGGGGTTTACCCACACCCCTTCTGTGCAGGAAGGCCCTCCCCTATGTGTTTTCGGAGGCTGGGAGAGTGCTCCTGTGAGGTGGTGTCCTCCCAGAGGCCTCAAGGTGAGCGGCTCTGGCTGCAGGCTCCAGCTCTGGTCCTATCCCTTATCGAGCAGGCACGGTTCAGCCACAGAGGCTCGGGTAAATGTAAAAACTATGAGGCATGGCTCGTTTACATTTCTCATGTAACATACAGGGCATTAACACGCGAATGGGTATGATAAGCGAGTGGACAAAACACCGTGCAGGCCAATGCAGAGCTGAAGTGGTGTCTGCCTTTATTAATAGAGTGAGCAGAACAGTCCTATATTAGATGACACCTGTGTCCTGAGCTGGATGTTCAGGTTCCAGCCCTGTTATTAGGCAGTTGAGCATCCCAAGCTGCATAAATGTCTCCTTTACTTACCTTTCATTTGTCTCCTGCTCTGCAGGACTGTTCCATCTTCTACAATCCAACTTTGTTAGCACATTCTTGCATAGACAGTTCATCTCTTGGTCACAGCTCCTATAGAACGTACCATGATTGTTGTTTTCACAGAGCCCTTGTGATTATACGTACTCATTAGGATGCCAGCAAGGTCTACAAGTCCTAGCATCTCTTACTGTTTCATAATGTAGCTAAAACTTGAAAGAGGTTCCTAATTGGGTTCTCCAAACGTAGCTCATCTCAAACTGGTGCCTTGATGTGGGAGCGGACTGAGGCAAAAGCAGCAGATGACCTCAGTTCTCTCTACACAGTATGCATTGAGCTGGGTCTCTATATTATTCAGGCTTTCATATAAGACAGAGCTACATTATGACTTGTATACGTACAATGATTTGCGCTTGGATAACAACTCAACCATTTCTGCGACTGGGTCAGATGGAGAGGTGAGCAGAGAAAGAACATCATGAAGACTTTTGCTGGCGATAGAACAGCCTTTGGTAGTTGGCCGGATACCTGGGGGTTGATGATTGCTATTTCTAGCATGTAAACAACATAGCTCCCAAAGATGTTGGAAAGAGCCCAGGAGCACCCAGAGGAGCCCCAGAGGCACCTAGACAGGCCCCAGAGACCTAGGAAGAGCCCCAGAGCATCTGGAGTAACCTGGGAGTCTCTGGCAGCCTCAAGAGGCCCTGGGAGAGCCCTTTAACAGGCTCAGAGGAGCCCAGACAGTCCCTGAGGACCTGGGAAGACACATTGGCATGCAGCTTGTCCTCCACATTAGAAGCCGGAATGTAGGATATGTAGGAGGTTTATGCAATTTACTCAGAGATAGCTGAGTCACGCAAAGACATTTGGGTCCAGATTTAGCCCACCTAATTTTAAACTTTGAATTGATTCGCTAACTCTGGGCTGTATTCGCAATAGATTCGGTGGAAAGGGTTCATTCAGCTCACTCCACCTCTGAATTGCCCTTTGACAACACCTTTCTCTCCCTGGTGTCTATAAAGGTGTGTTAGGTGACCAGATCCAAAACTGCAGTGTCTTACTCAAGTATCAAAGCTAGCTGGGGTGAATCTGAACCGCACTTGCTCAAGATCTCATGCAAGTGTGTAAAAATCTGTAAAGACTGCTTTTCCTCCAGGGTATGTATGATACAGTATTTTCATCTTCAAACAGAGTAACATAAAACTTGAATACTGTGTTATCTCTGGCTAAGGAGGTAGGAGGGAGTTTAGCTTTGCCTGTATTTTGCTGCTTGCAATGTTCTACTATTTAGGAAAGTAGATTCAGCATAAATTCTCAGAAAAGCCTACTCAGAACAGCATTAGTAAGCTTCTGCACTCTTGAAGCCCTAGATACCTCTCCTTGAAAAAGAGCGGGGGAACCATTGTGGGATCAGTAGAAGATTTGATCGTTCAAGTGTTTGCTGTGTTTCATGCAGATGCAGTGTTTTTTTCTAGCCAGAAGGGCCAGAAGGGGAAGGACTGTGCATCACTGACAAAGAGCTATTTCCTCACTTTATTAGAAATCATGAGCCTTTGTAGCCTGCACCTCTGATAGCTTGTGCTTATGGTTCAACCCTCACTGCATTTGATGTTTAGGAAGCTGCTCTGTAATGTGTAGAGTGACAAAGGGTTGCCGTTCCAGCATTCCTAGTGGCAGTAAAAGTGAAGTGGAAATGTCCTGCGCGATTAGGACTTCCGATATCTATCTCCAAAATGCTACGCAGTATCACACGCAGCAGAGCAGGTGGTAATACCCTATGTATGAAACTGTAGGTATGTAGGTACGTATGCATGGATGTGTGGCTGAAACTTAGCTTCTGTGATTGAATCTCCAGAGGTTTCACTGGGAGAATCTATGGGTTAGGAGGCATTTCACATTCACCCAAAATCAATTTTTGCTAATGCTGTTCCAGTCAGCCAGTATTTCTGTCCCTAGCTACATCCCGATCCACAGCAAGTGAGAATTCTATTTTAAATATTTTTGCATTTTTTAAATTAATATAAAATGCCCGTATTTTAAAGCTCTCTGTGAGGAGGAATACAGCCAAGCTGTCTCTATGGGAATCTCTATGGGAAGCTGCTGGAGCTGCAGACCAGACCATCTTAGCCCTGCGACTTCTAATGCTGTGGCAGCCCAGCAACCTAATTAGTGCGTACCAGAAGGTGAGCTGGCAAGTAACAAGGCAGATTTATGCCAGAACCACATCTCACACGAAGCATTCCTTCAAAAGCAAACCATCTGCACAAAACACTGACAATCGGGCAAATTCTAGGAGAAAAAAATAATTTCAAATTTCCTGGCCCTGGCGGAACAGAATGCTTAAGCGCATTTCTAAATGTTGGTGGTTTCGTGGGCAGTCTGCACAGAGGAGTTCCTGCAGATTCCCTGGGTGGGAGAACGGGGAGCAGTTGGGCAGAACGTAGGACAGCAGGGAGGAGAACAGCTAGCCCAAACTAGGGAGGAATGCGTCCCACAAGTTATGTCTGTTGTTGACGATATCTGTTTTATTTGGTATTTGATTTTTAAGAGGCTCTTTCCTCAAACCTTGCTATAAGTGACAAGCAAGGAGAGACTTCAGCATCTCAGTCATTTAGATGCTTCTGAATTTTCCATCCATAAGTTTGTTGTATGAATTAATGGCTGTAACAGGGATATTAGAAAACATTAGGGGGCCACTATTACCAGGCCAAAGTCCCTAGGTATAATCCAGAGGAAGTCATGGTAGTGAAGTCAGAACTAAGGTTGGAAGGTGAATTTCTATTTTTTGAACTGTAAGTTATTTTGTGACTTTTTATTGTAATTTTCTGTGCAGGTTTTGGCAGGGGGTGAAAAAGGTTTTGCTGTGAATACAGTCAGTTTGAGCACAGCAGGGAGATACCTTCTTTAATTTTATGGGTATTATTTGTTCCCTTTTTACCGGCTCGCTGTTCTGTTGTGTGCTATAGCGTGTAAAGAGATCATCCCTCCCCTTGGCACGTACGCAGACAATGGCTTTCATTCTTGTGTTGATACATAGCCAGCAAGACAGCGGTCTATGTCTTTGGAAGTGTCCTTATCTAAACTGAGCCTAGTGTTTGGGTTTGGGATGCTGTTGGGACTGTCAGGAGTCCAAACCGAAATCACGGAACAAATTCCATTTATATAGGCAAAATCTGAAGCTCTGAGTTCAGCAGAAGGACACTGCAGAATGAATACAGGTGGACGCCTGCTTCCAGAACTGAAGAGCTTTCAGCGCTGTGTCTGCTCCAGATACATGGTACAACTCAAGTATGACATGGGTATGTGCAAACCTTTGGTCATTCTAGTCTTTCCCTCCAAATGTTATTTATAAGGATAGACAATACTTTGTTTTCAAGAAATTACTGCATTGCTGCTGAGAGATTCTGATTCTCGTGGATCTGCTGAGGAAGCACTTAACTGAACATGAGGGGCTGTTCCCAGAGGCTGGTGAGTGAGAGGTACAATTGTAGGATTCATGGTGAAAGGACTAGGAACAGCTGAGTGGGATCATGCCACAAGACCTTCTGGGCCAGCATCTTGTCTCTGATGACCAGTAGCAGATGCCAAAGCTGAAAAGGGCAAACATGTTTATGTGGTGAGTGGTTCAGGAAATTCTTTAGTCACATGAAAGTATCCTCCTGTTTAATAGCCCCGATGGATTTTTTTTTTTCTTATGAATTTGTCTAACCACCTTTTGCAGCTATGTAAACTTTTGGTATAAACATTACCTCCTGTAATAATGAGTTCCATGGTTTAACCACAAGCTATGTGGAAAAAGAGCTCCTACCATTTGATTTGATGATTTCCACTGAGCCCCTCACCTTGAAAGGAGGCTGTGGGCCTCTAACTTCAAAGCTTGCACTCAAGAGAGGCTTAAACATTGTCAGTGATTACTGTGTAACAGAATATAATGCTAAAACAGCTTCTCCTTGTCAGAAGGTTCAGCGTTAACTGGCACCATTCAATTTATAGCTCCCTCATGTTTGAAACCAGTGAACTTTGAACACTTTTCCCATAATGTTTCCCTCATTCAGTCCTACAGCTTCATTGCTGTACATTGTCCGGAGATAAACACTACAGGCCTCACCTCCATTCACCCAGGAGAGCTACTCGCCAGAGACAATTTCTACAAAGAAGCGGTGACTAATTCAATCATGAGGTGGGCATATGGTGACACCCTCTGCTGCAAACAAAAATAAGCTCTTTCACACACAAGTTGATTTTTATCATTCCTCTGCCTTTTTCAGAGCCTTCTCTACTTCATTCTCAGGGCAGTCCTCTTCCTTTTGGGGATTATTCTCCCCCTGGTTTCCAAAAGAGCCTTTTTCAAAGCCAGCTGTGCACATGCTGCTGCCCAGCTCCCTGCTTACAAGCCTTCTTCCGGTAATGCCAAGACTTCTTAAATTACTGCTTAGAGCTGCTTTCACATCTCACACATAAGAGAACTTCCATATCGCAGTATGCCTTTCATCTGTGTCCACCTCATAAGTCTCCTTGTCAAGTTTCTACTTCCTAACTTATTTTTTCTGTAGTGGGACCAGCTACTACTTGGGTAAAAATGGAATTAGTGATTTCCCAAGGCTAAAGTGCTGTCCAGCAAGCCTCCCTCTTGTGACTAAACCCTGTCATTACACACTCAGAGGAGCAAGAGCTTGTTTTCAGTGTTCAGCTGACTTGAACAAAGGTCCTAAAATACCCTACTGCAGGAAGTCTCTCTGAATGTCTAGTATAGAAGGGCATAGTGGAAACTGGGTCGAAGACTTCTCACCTGCATAGTCTCAACTGTGTACTAGAGTATACATTGGAGAGGTTGGGTGTGCTCCACTTGCCAAACACCAGAACACTGACTTTTCTGGATTTGATGGCGTTATGAAAGGACTTTTTGGAGAGAGCTGTGGCAAAAATTGGGGTTTTACGGATCTACTGATTTTACAGTTTTCAGTCAGGTTCATTCTGTTGGTAGCGTTTTCATCTACTTCAGCGTGTTCTGAATTAGCTCGTGAAGTAGGAGTGATAGTCCACAAGGTAGGATATAAACACCATATGGCTTCCTATTTCTTTGGAAGATATTCAGGTACATGATCATAGGCATGATATAGGAACAAAATAAAAATATACTGATGGATCTCTAAATGCAGCCATCCTAAAAGGCATTCCTCTTATGGCCTGCTGGATTTGCTCCACCAATCATTGTGGGTTTCAACTGATTTCACTATTATTTATAAAAACAGCCCCAAACAGCTTAAATGAGTTCACATACTGCAGTTCTTGGGGCTCTACATTGATTCTACACTTTGAATTTCAGAGGCTTTCCCTTGACCACTGAATGGAAATCTTCGTAGGCAGGACAATATCTAGAAGCGAGAAAGAGTTACAATCACTGCATTACCAGTGGGAAGCTGAAGCTCACCCATTATGGCAAGTTTTACAAAGTTTTTGAGGCACAAAGTTCTCCTTGACCTTCTCATGACTTGCCAAGATCACCTAGGAGGTTCGTGACAGTGCTTTGGAGCGAGTCCTGCTCAAAATCCCCGTACAGTGATTCACCCATAACTGTTCTGTGAAATACCTATCTTTCAAAAAAGTAGCACTTCATGTACAGCCAGGTATTGAGAGGAAGGTTAGGACTCAGCCTAGGATGCTCTCTTACATCCCCAGTGAGTTTGGGTGCCTCAGAACAGGGAGAAAAAAACAACTCTGCTCCTGTGGTGGTGGCCTTGGCACTGCAGAACTACGCTGCAGACGATGTACCGTTATTTCTCTTCATTTGTGTGGGAATTCATTGGCTTCCCATAGGCGTGCCTAAGAGTAAGTCACTCACAACCAAAGCCCAAGACCAACGCAAAAAAATTCTCAAAAAAAATCTATAAAAGGGGCCTGGTGGTGCAATCTGGATGGGATGCACTGGCTGGGAACCATGACGCTTTGGAAGTGGTATAAACTGGAAGAAAGACAAGACGTTAATATACTCCTACAAACATGCTGAAATGACATTTAGGCCAGTCTAGACAGCAGCAGGTCCGCTAACCTATTGTGTTTCTGGAGCTAAAATAGATAAACTTCTCTCTGATGTCAGTTTTTATATCAAATACTTTGGCTTTCTTTCTTATCGACACTTGTTGACAGCAGCAGAACTGCAATTACATGTGAGCAGACATTACCTGCTAGAAGATCTTTTCACAGTTTACCCCAGAGTGAGAAGGGAGGAAGCTATGCATAAAAATACTAGATTTGTCAACAGTTACAAAATCCCCATTATTTATCATTTCCACAATAAAATACTGCATTGTTACCAAAGGGTTTCAAACATCTTTGTTTCAGAGCACATGAGCTGATCTAAAAATCTCCTTTAAGTAGATTTCTGCTGTACAGATAATCTGGGGATTAGGGGATTAGTTCTGCAAACTTACCAGCTACTGACATGAAGGCGCTGCTTCTGTAGAGAGCTGGACGAAACGAACGTGTCTTCGTAGGTTCCCAATTTCATTACTTTTTTTTTTAACCTTTTCATGACTAAAAACATACTTCAGGGCCTTTAGAATACAATCCAGCTCAACATTTAATAAGTATATCTCTAAGTGCTTTTGTTTTCTGTCAGATAGGAAGAGATTTAAATGTTAATCTGCAATGCTACCCATTCCCTCTACTGGATAGCACAAGACCCATTGACTGGGAACGCTGGCCCCTGGAGGACTGCAGCTTGGGATGGGCAGCACAGCCATTATATGAGAACGAATATGCCTACCCCCTTCTGACACCATCTATATGCCTGCAGTAGGCCTGCAGCAGAAGACTCAGCGGAAAGCAGCAGTGGTAGTATTTGGAAGAAGAGTAATGGGAAAGGAGGGAGCGCAGCTGCCGACTGTGAAGAGTGGGCCACTGGGGGAAAGGAATTTTAGCTGTCAAAACATCTCACTATGTCTTTGCTAAGAAGAGCAACAGATTGTCTTTCAGCTCAAGAGTTTAGGATCTGCTCTAAACTAAGAGGCTATGGGTTGTCTTCACACTTCAGAGCGGTAGCCTGATGTGGAATGGTGGCCGTCAAGTGTCTTGGATTTAATGGGACAAGTTATGGCTATCCATGTGTGCTGTCACTGTGCGAGGCAAGAGTGAAGTGACGGGAACATGTGCTGAGCTTCTCGCCCCATTGCTCATTTGTTACCTGAGCAAATCCCAGAGCTTCTGGACAAGAGTTTGGAGTAGTTACAACCTAGTGCCCCTTCTCTTGGACTCTGGGATCTAGTATCCAAAATCAAGGATGTACAATGACTGAGCCAGCCAGAACACCTGGAGTCCTGGTGCTCCTGGCATCTCACGGGCTTATTTCCGCAATAAGTTTTCCTTTGTGGGGAATCCCACAAGTCTCTTATGTGCTGACAGGTCCCAGAGCCAGAGCCCTGTTTAATGTTAGCATTTCCAGATGTGGGAGGGATGAAGTCTCAGGAATTTCCCTGATACCACTGATTCCCTGACAACCTCAGGCTTTTTCTGTGCAGTCCTGCCTGAATGCCTCCTGCCTTCTTCAGACAGTTTGAGCAAAGAATACATCAAAGATGTTGACATGTCTCATTAACTAGATACCAACAGGCAGGTTATCTGAAGTTGTTTGCTGCCTGCCTGCCACTGGGAAGAAAGTGCCTTCAGGGAGTCTCCTTGTGTACCCTGAAAGTACACAGCATAACAGCTCTTGAGTAAACAGAGGCAGAAGCAGCCCCCCCCCCCCAACCTCCTCACTGAAACACTTTGTATTTACAGTAAAACTGCCCCTTTGATCCTTCACCAAAAATAACACAGACAGTCTATTAAAATATCTTCAATAACATGATATAATTAAAAATATGTAATGTGCAACTCAAAGAAATTAATATGAAGCGTCTTTAAATGTGCTTCCACACCCCTCTAAACTTGACTGACAAGTTCCAATGGCTTGAAAATATATGAGTACACTCACGGATATTATGAGTGAGAGTTCCTGTATGTGAGTTAGGAGCACAAAGGGTTAATAACCAGATTTGAATGGATTTGGGCACCGTGGTAGCTTTAAAAATCCTACAAGGCACATTACTGCATCTCTAAGCATTTAAACATGGTTAAAGTAGTCTGAAATGAGTTGGAGGCACTCATCCCTTCGGCTCTTAACAAAGCCTGGGTGTTTTAGTCACTGAAACTATCTGAGAAATGAACTCTAATTGCTTTAGTAAAAAGACAGTATTTGTCTGAGTCTGTCCATTTTCTTCACAATAACGCTGGGAACTTGTACTGCCCCGCATGTTAGATGAGCAGAGTAGACCAGAGGAGCTAGAACTCCCAGAGGACTCTTGAGCATTGGGCTATAAGGTAACCTTGTTAGAAATTCACCTTCTGTTCCTGGGTCTGCTCTTCTCTAACGGGCAGTATTAGATGAGATACTTCACCTCCCAGAGTCAGCATGACAGGCAGTTTTGGGCAAGTGAATGAACTGGTGAACTTCAGCCAAGCACGTCCCCAGATTTAGCAAATGTGAGATAAAATACGTTAATTTAACCCCTGGTGAAAGAGTTTAAGTTGACAAGAGTAATCTTGAGTTACCATGGCTTAGCTGAGAGACAGGGACTCAGTTGTGCGTCTTCCTTTGGTGCTCCGTACATCTTCTGTTGTGGAGCAAAGATTCTCTTAATACATACTTTCAGAGCTGCTGCCACAGGAAGGTGTTGATCTCCACCAAGGCCTCTGCATGCTACTGTAACACTGATAAGACAGATAGCAGTAGCATTACCACCAAACGGGGACCATTGTTTTTGAAGGATTATCACTCAGTAGGAGCATTCCTTGGAAGGGAGGTTGGCAGGCATACTGTCGCTAAGATGGGAAAAAAGATCAGCAGTCGCAGGGAAAAAAAAAATTGCTTTTTTCCCTTAGAACAAGGAAGCAAGTTGGCTGTTTTATTCCGATTGTATTTTAAGGCTGTTTCAGTCTTCATTACTGGAGACATTGCAGGGCTCCTCTCTTTTGTGGCCAGAGAAGAGACAGAACACCTTTTCCAGAAAACACCTCTTCTGACCGGATAAAATTATTCAATATTAACTTTACAGTAGTGCTCAGGGCCTGTGCAAGGGTATAGTTCCATCATGTGGACACTAGTAATCTTAGCTGCAGCCCAAGCAAGATCTGTGCAAGCTGATCATTTGATCATTTGGAGAACGTACAGCTTGCCATCCACTGGGAATCTCAGGCTTCCTACAGAGCAAGATCTGTTATCTCTATTTACAGTAGTGCAAGTGCTAGCAGGTTGAAATAAGGCACTGAGGTCTGGAGTCTTGCAGGAAAATCCCTCGCATCTTCCACTGAGTTACACCTGTGTGTCTTCTATATGTACCTTGTTAAGTGACCTCTCACAAGAGCGTCCAGTCCTAGAATAACAGTCAGTTGTCATCAAAAACACTGCTGTTCCTGTTACTGAAGCTGTTTTCCTTGACCATCACTCGGTATGAAATGCGCATGAAAGAGCCAGTGAGCAGCACAACAAAGAGGATGAGGAGCAAAGACCAGACCCCTGGTTCAATCCCCTTGAGGAAGCTGGCGTTGTCCTGGGGGATAGTGTTGGTGAGATTCAGCAGGTACCCAAGAGTCCAGCCAGATGATATGTCACCAATCTATGGAAAGAAAAAGGAGGAGAGGTCAGAAGAGAAGCAGACACTGGAGTCTAGGATGGCTCCATGGCTCCTGGATCCCAGCTGTGTTTCTGTGCACAGGTCTAAAGCCTAACATACTTTATTTGAAATTGATCCAAGGATTAGGCTTGAAATCTCAAAGAGCAGGCTCTCCCACTGTAAGGGCCCTGAGTGCACTACTAGGCCTTAATTGCCCTGACCAGCCTCACCTGGGGCTTCTACCCATGCACCCTCTGCCCCTTGGCCTGGGAGCTCTCTTTACGCTCAGGCCTGGGCACTCTGCCTTCCCCTGGACTGTGCTGTAGATGCACCTGGGTCCTGTTCTTTCTCCTGGGGTCTCAGCTTACTGACTGATTTTCCCCAACACGTTGTTGGTAGCTTTGTCTTTGTCCCTGTCTCCTGGATGGACCTCAGACTTAGGTTGTAAGTAGTTTACCTCTGGACGTCTTGTGACTGGCCTCTGCGGGTGGACCCTGGACCTACCTCATTACCCTGCCTTTGTCAGGTATTTGACAGAATCACTATCACCAATGTGGCTGTATTCAAATAGTATGGGACTGTGTCTTTGTCAGTGAGCTGAGGTGTGGGAATGGGCTTTCTTTCCTTTTGTGAAGGAAAAGGATGAAGAAAACCTGAATCAAATCCTTCTTTCCTTAGTGGTTACAGATCTTGAAGCAATTTTAGTGCTGCCTCTACCAGTTACAAACTCTCACTGGTATGAGGTTGATTGCAAAGAGATAGGGCAGGATCTTCTGGCTTGGGAAATAATATTAGCCTTCTGTCTTCAGCGTTAAGTAGTAACTAAGCTATCTTCTTTCCCTTGCTACTGGTTGCAGACATTTAAAAATGATATTGCTTTCAAATGAGATTTTGACCCATCTGGTTTGCAGTGGAGACAAGTGGAATCTTTATCTCTTTTACATTAGTTCCTTGATCCTTAGAGCTGTGAATTTATTTTATGGAAGTATCTTGCTGGAGAAACCTAGTTGGTTAGGGCTTGTGGGAGTGGGAATAGTCCAGCTTTACCCAAACCACCCTCCCTTGTAATTGGAATACCATACTGAAGGTAACCGACCTTTTCCTGGAACACAATCCGAACAGAGCTGTGAAAGTCAAACGTGTATCCCTTTGTACTCAGATGGAAGATGAAGGTGGACACAGCACAGTAATCGGCAAGTGTATCCAAGCTTGTCTGGGATTCCTTGACTAGCTGGTGTCATGTCCAACAGAAGACGGAGGGAAGAAAAAAAAAAAAAATCAGCAGTCATGTCCTGCTCTGGGACTGATGCAGGGCTGGAGGAGAAGTGTTTGTGTGTCCAGTGCAGACTGAGGCCATGCTTCCCCGCACCCGCTGGGCTGTTGTCTGAGAGTCACCATCACCTCTCAGTGCCTTAGTTCCTGTCTCATTAAAAGACTAGGCAGTTCCAAGAGCAGCAGAACTGACAACCCCCTCACCTACAGTTGCCCTGCGGGTGAACTCCTTGGTATGAGTCTCTGCTCTCTAATTAGGCTGAACTAATGCTGCAACCTTTATCTCATCAGGATCACTAAGATCTTTCTCTTCCATCCAGAAAAGAAAGCTTGTTACCCCATTATCAAACCCTCTAGAGAATGGCCAATTTGGATGTTATTGTGAAAGGGATGCTCAGTCAGTGTAAGCTCTAATGAGGGTGACTTCATGAGTTGCCAAGCTAGGCAAAGAACTTCTATTTCCCCCATAGCTTAGTCTCCATGGGTCCAGGTGAAATGGGAAAATCCCTGGACTCTGAGCAGATGTGTTCCTTGTACATAGGGAGAGGAGGATAACAAGGAGAACAAGGTGATGTATAAGCAAGACTAGGCAGACTGCCTTTCTATCCCTAATATGCAGTGAAAGGTACTGGTGCCTTTCCATTTAATCAAGTCCAGGTGTTACTAACAGCAACAGCTGGGATTTGAGAGGAAGGGAAAGCCTGTTTTCTTAAAGTAAAAAGACAGGCAAATCCAAGTTTTTCCCCGAGGGGGTCAGCAACTTACGGCCTGAGACACATGAGCTTTTACAGCTGGGCTGTTTGTTGCTCTACTCTATCTGTGCACACTAAGTTATTCCACATTTACCTCTTTGACAGACATCCCACAAAGCTTGTTGACTGCCTGACCCAAGTCAGGAGAGGGTACAGTCTCTCTCAGGAAGTCCAGGGCCTCAGAAATCACCTATAACAGCAGCAGAAATAATCATCAGGTTGGATCGCGCCAGGCATGCTTCCATATAGTGTGTAAGGGAAAGTAGGTGGCAATAGCCATTGGGCACATTTCCAGGATGTCCTTTCTACTTATCTGTTTGGTGGTTACAGTGCTTCTGATGGGCACTGGGAAAACAAACAGGAGCTGTTACTGTCTGAAGATGGAAACTGGACTAGCTTGAGATTCTAGCTTCAATATAGCAACCTTCCTTGCTCTGGATGTGCAGTAGGCTAGTCCTTATGCTCCTTGGCACCATATCCATGGGAGGCTGCTGGCAACAGGAAACTGGTGATTTCTGTAATCCCTTCCTCCACAGCCCTTCTCTGAAATGTGCTCAGTGTGCCCTAGCATCTTGAGCAGGTCCTGGCTTAACATCCCAATGACTTTGAACACTAGATCCAGCATTTCAAGGACATAAGGACACTTGTGGTAGAGCATCCTCAGATGTTTACTCAGAAAGGGACAGAGGGTCTTTAGCTTCACCACAGACTTGACATGGGAAGAGATGCTCAGGGCAGAACTCCTGCCTGCTCTGACCCTGCTGGCTCACATGAGCTCCATTATGGCTCTGCAGTGCCCCAAACCTCCTCTCGCAAAGAGACGCTGCTGACGCGTGGGATCAGTGTTGTACCACAGTTATTGGTGGAAAGCCTGGGTGCCCATTCGAACAGCTGTGTGCTGAGGAAGGGGAGAGGGCAGGATTGCATGTCTACAGCATCAGCACTGTATTCAGCACTAGCCAGAGTACTGGCACTCCTGGCTAGCAGAGAGTACAGAACGGCTGGTCCCACTATGTTTATTAATGATCAAATTGGTCCAGTTTCATGGGCTCTTCATGCCAATTGCTTACCCCAGTATAAATGAGAACCCACCAGAAACTTGGTCCAGGGACGCTTGAAAACACTGCTGAGGGAATGCTTGAAGAAGCTGCAGGAAGCAGAAGAGTTGAGCAGACTTTGCACGAGTCTCCTGCAAGCAGTAGAATTGCTGGAGCCGGTGACATTGAACACCTCCTCAGGGCTGGGGGTTCCCAATGTGTCATCACTGATAGCACAGGGCCCAGCATGCACTGAACGCCATTGCACTTCCTGGGAGTAAGTGAGGGGCCAGCAGGGGTTATATATAGTTTTCACATTTCTCTGATCCTAGAGGGGCAGAAAAAAATGGGGACAGGTAGCAAGAGAGGAGACCCAAGAGAACTGCTCAAGGCTTTATAAAAGAAAATGAAATATAACACAATGAAAAACAGAAGTTATTTTGTTTGCTTTTTCTCCTGATGTGACAATGTCATAATTGAGCAGGCAGGTTGCAAAAGGCTTGCAAAAACCTTATCTAAACTATTCAGCTGCAAAGCCTAGACCTCTGGTACAGCATGGTCCCAGCTCCCGCTGAGTTCAAGGCAGCCTGCAATGACTGAGCCTGCTGTTGGAGGATGAGAAGTTGAGCATGTAGGAATTCCTGGGGAATTCAGTGTTTTATGATGCTCCAGCCCTCATGCTCCCTGGTAGCTAGGGTGACCCAGGTGGTGTGCAGATTACTAATCCCCTCTTCCCGAGCAGCTCTTTGCCCATAGAGCCATGCAGGTCACAGGGAACCCCTCAAGAGTTAGCATTTCTCGTCCTTAGGGATTCCCTGTAATATAATCATGAGGTGGGTCTCCATATGAGTCTCAGATAAGGGGCTGTTCCCTAGAGAAAGGTGTGGCTGGAGCGTGTTTAGGGGGAGCCAACTGAGGATGAATTCATTTATGAGTTCATTTTTGAACAATGCAATTTTCGTGGGGACCAAAACCATTCATGACTTTGTATCAGATCCAGTCAACCCTCTACCACCCCCTCCCCCTCCACCCAATGAAATAAAATTCGGAAGAATTGAAACACCTGTGTGTTTTCAAAATTGAATATTACTATTTTAGACTATGTCAAAGTTAAAGTTGGGAAAAAAGGTCCCAGCTGGTTCCCAGGTGTTGCTTTTTAGGCTCCCCTTGTAGAATGGAGGAGCAGTTCAGAGAAGCCAAGGGAAGTGTTTGCCCCTCTCTACTATGAAGGTGGTCTTAGCACCTCTGGAGAGCAATTTTGTGCTCGTGTGCCTTAAATAGGAAGCCAAATAGAGCCTGCAAATAAGAAACTGGAATGGTTGCCTTTGTATATACTTAGAGGACATCGATTCAGGCATGGAGACTGTCTGAGGCATTGGGCTTTTAGATGCATACAAACACCCTCAATTAAAGATGGTCACTGATGTTTCACCTATTACCAGCTACACTAGCTCTTGCCTTATGCTACTGTCATTTGGTACAGGGGATGGACATTGTATCTAGGAAACTTGCAAATGCCAGCAGCAGATACTCACTCGTATGAGCATGGAGAGCAGCCTGCTGCGGAGCTGGTCTGTGCTGTGGCAGGGGCACTGGTAAGCATACACCTTGTGTGTTTGCCCGTACAGCTGCAGCCTCACTCCTCCTTTTGGTGCCTGGTTCTTTTCTTCCATCTTGGAAATGAGCTGTGCTGAGGTTCCTCCTAAGGACAGGACTCCTGCTGTCCCCTTCATGGAGGGGATCACCTGTCCTCGCCAGTCATACTGACCCAAAGAGAAACAGAGAGGTCGGTTCTTAAGACTTTTGCATCTGAGTCATGGTCAGTCAGATACAAGCATTACTGCACAGAGAGAGAGAGAGAGAGCAGCTTTCTGGTGCAGTACAGCCCAACTCTTATTTCCCCACAGGGCACGAAGATGCTGAACTGATGGCTTCAGAGGGAGCAGAGGGGAGAGCCACTGTATAAGCACTGCCATTTGCACAGAGAGCTCACCACAGCCAGTGAGAGCAAACAGTAGATTTCACCACCTCAGTGGGCTGTTCAAGGCAGCGGTCTCTGTAGGTAGGAACAGGGGAAAGAGGAGAGGATAGGGGGAGCCGGGAGGAAGGCTGCCAGGTGGGTAGATATGGGCTTCAGGTGCTGCCTAATGCCAAAGTGATCCTCCTGTCAGAAGAACCCTGTGGTTTCATGTCCCACAGTCCTGCAGAACTGATTTTGGCAATGCTGAAGTTAACAGTAGAGGCAGGAAAGCTTATGCAGGAAAGCTTTTACTGACTGCAGATGTAAATACTCTGCCCACGGCCTGGGTGGGCTGTGCTGTTGCCAGCGGTGCTAGCAATTGCCTGACTGATGCACATTTGCTGCTTGTTATCAGAACTGCCTTTTAATCCGCTGCTGTGGAGCTGCTGTTGTCTAACTGCTGTTGTTGTCTCCTTTATCTGGCACTTTGAGACCTTCTTGAGACCTTTTGCCTTGAGAAACTATGGATGGAGCAAAGAAAATTACATGTCTTTTTCTTTAGTGAGCTCCTGAATACAGACCAGGACCCTAAGCTGGGGACGCTGTCTCATCACTGTCTCAATGAGAGGAAAGTTTGAGGGCTTTTGCTTTGGCAGCCAAAGACTCTTGTGTCCACCGTTCACAGGATGTCCTTTGGGCCAGCTGGACTTTGGTGACATTCCCATGCCATCCCTGCAGACATAGCAGCAATGTCTGTTTCACAGTGGTTCTGAGCTAGAACTGAATGGCTTGGGGCAACAATGTTCTTGCTTTATGCACTAGGGCCAGGCTATGTAAGGTTATCTGTGTTTGAACGTCCCAGATGTGTTGTCCAGAAAACCTCAGATCAGTTACAACAACAGCATGAGCATATCCATGAACATAACCTATATTAGAGGTTTGGTACTTCAACCCAGTTTTAACCATGTTATCTCAGGTCCACCATGATGGAGATGATATAACCTGCCTTCTTTGAAAGTCAGTGGAAGCTCTGCTTACGTTTTGTTCGAAGTGCAGAGCTATAACAATCCCTCCACATATCTCTGTTGCCGTTTGATAACGGGAGTCCCTTGCTGTTTGATAACGGGAGTCCCTCAGCTCAGGTCTGTACTCCCCAGGGCGGGATCTCCCTTTACCTTGACAAAGTTCTCCAGGACGTAATTAACAGCAACCCAGTTGAATGCTTCCTCATCCAGGCTGGACAGGATTTGTGCCCCCCAAAAGTCGAAGGGGGATGACTTGAGGGCTACAGTCAGGGCCGCAAGAAGAGCGTCAGAGAGGGTGGGATTGGTAAGGCTAGACAGAAAAGAAGCACATTTGTTACAGGGCTCCACCAGGAGCAGCCTGCAGTGGGTGCAGCAGCAGGACTTGTGCCGTGTTCCCCACTTTGGGTAAGAGTTCAGGGAGACACAATGAAAAGCCTGCTCCCACTGCCTCTTCCCCCTCCCCTCATACTGCACTGGGGGCAAGCACAGCCTGGGCAACAAAAATATGGAAAGGTGATTGAGCAGCTGGGCTGCCATTGGGGAGCCTTGAGTTCAGATCTCTCTGCCACTGCAGGATCCTGTGGCTGTGCTCCACTGACCTGGCACCTCCAGACCTTATTTTTCCCCAGTGTCTAAAAGGAGGTGGAGAGGTCCTGGTAACAAGGTAATTGAGAACAGGGTCCAAATAAGTATGTAGGATAAAGTAGAGCTTCCCACCGCAGCTCCCAGCCTGCTGACAAGAACCACCACTGCAAACCCATGCAGCTTGCCACATAAACTGAAAACACTTCAGCTTCCAAACAGACAGATGTTGTCCCCAGCCCTAGTTGGGAAAGGGACTTTACACAGATTGGTAGCAATAGCAAGCCTATCATCCTCATGGCTGTTTGCAGGGGGATGGTATGGACACACAGCTGTGCTGTACTCCCCTTGAATGCACAGGGAGCTGAGAAAGGTTTACCTGACCAATGGATTGGGGATGAAACATGCTGCAGAGCAGACAGGGTGAGATTCATTTACAGTGATCCACATGATGTGTGCTGATCTCTGCATGTGGGTTTGCAACATTCACTCACTTCAGCTGCCTCATGCTGGCAGTTGCTCCCAAGTAGAGGGGGGTTTGGCTGTGCTGCTCTGCTGGGATCTCTCTCTGGGCCCAGTGTAAGCATGGCTCCAAATTCTTCCCTACTTCCTGAGGAGAAACGGAGTAGCTGGAGACTCCAGGACCTACGGATCAGAGGAAAGAATGAAATATCCTGTGTGAAGATGTGGGAGAAAGGTGAGAGCAGTTGCCAAAGAGATTAAGCATGCCCTGAAGGACAGCAAAGACGTCCCATCTTTGTCATAGCCAGAACAAAGCAGTTATTTCAGTGGACTAGTAGCCATTCCGGTAAAACGCTGCATTGGGAACAGAACAGCAAATAAATGTAAATCCTAAATCACACACTAAGAGAACTCTAGCTGTGCTGCTAAGTTATCCTATAGATGACCACGTATCAGCTATGCGACAGCTCTTACAGCTGAGGCTGTCTCAGCCCATAGAAGTGTGGTTTTCACCACTGTAAAAGATAAGCAAAAGGACACACTGACACGGAAATGAGACTTGTGCATCAGCTTCCTCTTCCAGCTGCTTCCTCATCTGTTGGTAGACGTGACTGCTGAACGCCATGCCTGCAAGCAGGCCACCTCTGCTCTGAAGGAAGCTAGTGCTGCATGGAGAGCAGCTGTGTGCAAGCCCTGACTCATCCTTCCAGCAGGAGTCAATGGGAGTTTTAAATGTTTTTGAACTACAAACCATAGAAGGCCTTGCTTCCTTATCCTCCAGGCCACTCGTGTTCCTGGCTGCATGACTACCTCACCGCGTACCTTGCTCTCCTGGGCCCTGAACAGAGCTGCAGATTGCCTACGACCACTCAAAGACTGTAGCAAAAGTGGAATTTGAACCACCGTTCCTAAGTCCTTGTCTGCTGTCTAAGGCCCTACGATGCTTTCCCCTCCAGCTTCATTTCAATTACCACAGGTCTCTGCTGGCCCGCACTGCCACACAGACCAAGGACTGCTTCTTGCATCTGGGAAAAAGACTTGCCTGGACGTTTTGTCACTGCTGATGACTCTGCTGCAGGTTCACGTAAGTATTCAAACACTGAAGTAAAATTGTCATTTTTAACACAGTAAGTGAAGATACTAAGTGGTAGCAGTTGAAGGATACATACAAGGTTTCAGGGAACTGTTATTACATCATCTGTATGTGGCTGGTATTGTTTACAGTCTGGGAGAGCGCAAGCCCCCTTCTCTGCTTGCTGTGTGGCTGCCCTCTCCCAGCACCCTGTGACACTGAGAGTTCAGGGTTTCCCAGCATCCTGCTATAATCATGCTTCGCTATCAAAGCAAGATCGTGAGACAGGGAAGAAAAACCCCAAGCATTAATGCATGAACCCTGTTTAGCTGGCTCTGGCAGGAGTGAACTGACTCAAACCAGCGAGGAAGACCCCAAGATTCTCTAAAACCTGACACCTAAAACCACAGCCTGCCACAGTACTGTGGGGACCAGCTGTGGCATGTCAACCTGAACTCACACTTGTGCAGCCAAACCTCACAGAGGGGATTGGAGGCTTCACATCTCTGTTGCGGAGCTGCAGCACTTACTGCCCAGATAACAGTCAGGAGGAGGAAAAGGTTACTAGGAAGTCCCCCTCTGTGGCCAGACTTGTCTCCATTGCTGTTCACCATGTCCCTTGGGTGAGAGGCTCAGCAACCTTGGTTCTGCCACTGGTCCATGTGGAGATCAGCGCAGCGCCATCCCCTCTGTGTGCTTCCCTGCCCATAGCAGGCTAGTAGAACTTTCATCTGCTACTGCAGAATCCTCTGATCTAGCCCTACCCGTGTTGAGAAGGCCTGTGCTGAAAATGTACAGCCTGCGCTTCACTGTCACTACCATCTCAGTCTGCAGCTAGATGATACAGGACTCAAAAACTGCACAGATGGGCCATACACAGCTCTCTTGGTTTCCAGTCATCCCATGCCAATCCCATAGACCTTCCAAACATGAATCGGGCATCTTACCTTGCACAGTACAGGAGCTACATTCCCTGATCACCCCGGTGTTGTTTGCTTTGTTGGCAGTCCACTGGTAGATGAACAGGATGGTGTGGGATGGGCCAGCATCCAGAATAATGCCATACTGGAAAACCCCAAAAGCATTATAGCTAAACACCACTGAATGCACAGTTTGTTATTGCAGGGTTACTCAGCGTTACACAAGTGTTCTGGGTAACCCATGTGCCCACACTGCAGTATTTGAGTTAGCTTTTTTAATTCAAAGAAAGGGTGAAGCCAGAAGATAATGTGGATTTGCAGTGAACCATCTGCATTGCCGAATATATGTGAGGAGCAGCAGGAGTGGAGAAATGCCCACTAATATATATCTACAGTGGCAGCTGCTGGACATGCTCTGTAGCTGTTCCTGAAACTGTGCAAAGGGTTTCCATTGAGAGCTGAGCCATCTGGAGCGCAGAAGAAACAGGTCCTACGTAGGTGGAAGACAGCACTGTACAGGCTCTCTGCTAACTCTGGGACTCAAGCTGCTGCTGGATTGGTTTGCTAAAGAGACAAGGCATTTGGGGAGAAAGCAGAGGGCTGTGGCTTGCTCTTGCTTCTGAGGAACTCAAGAGACTTGCATGTCTGTTTGGAGCCCTGCTGCAGAGATGGTGTGACACAGATTAGCTCTGCCTCGATGCATACCAGATCTGTTGGAGCCACAGTGTACTCGGGCAGACCAGCATGTATGCTGTCCAACACAGCAATCCCACACAGACCAAGATAACGTCTCAGCAAAACTGGCAACAGCCAGCATGAGATTTCTCAACACCTTATCTGCTGAGAGTGACCCCTCCCTCGTGCCTAGCACTGAGGCTGAGGACTTTCTTGCTTTTTGCAGCCCAGTGTGCAGGTTTGGAAATGAGAGGCCACAAGAGTACCCCACAGCATAACTTGGTGCCTGTTAACGGAAGTCCTTGCTCTCAAAATGGCCCTCCTCTCAGGAGATCTTTTCCCCTTTCTACTCCCTTTACGTGACTCCAAACTGGGACTCTCCCACAAAGAGAGAAAGGAAACTTGGGAGATCTGGGAGGTATGTGGTTCTGCATGACCTAAGCTGTATCTTGCACAGCAAAATTTGTAACTGTGACTGAGTGGAGGAGAAACATCCTCAGAGGTTGATGTTAACGTAGTCAGAAGGGTTTAGCACTAGACAGCCTGGCTGCAGCCTCCAAATGAAACTGGCTTCCTCCTTCCTCTCTGTGAGCGCTCTCAGCTCCACCAGGCACGCACTCCAGCTCCCAGGCCAGGAGGTGGTGTGACTGGAGCCTGAGCAGAAATGTGGAAGGAGGACGTAGCTCCCCGCCTGAGCCTGCTGGCATCCTCCCACAAAAGTGACAGCTCATATTTCTTGCAGGGGCATGTCAGCTGCTGCAGAAGAGCAAGAAATGAATGATCTTGGTGGGCAAACTCAGAATTTTTTTCTCCCTCACAAAATGAGAGACCGCCGTTGGGAGCAAAAAGGAGGAGGAGACCACATTTATGCCACAAATCAACATCAGGGAAGAACACAGATCTTGATGTTATTTTGGGTTGGCAGAGCATGGAACAATAAGGACTTTTTAAATGCAGTTCTGTTTCTAAGCGGCGCATGGTGGGTGGGGAGTATCTCTAAAATCATAGGTTAACCTATTTCTGTTCAAGTAAACCACAGCGTGCAATTGACCTCACCTCAGCAGTTTTGCATCAAGAGGCATAAGCAGATAGAGATTTACCCCTGCATCACTGGGCAGATCTGAACCTGCTGCGTAGAGCAGGTTGGCTCTTCAATAAAAATCAAAAGTAAAAGGGATGGAAAAGGAGTAAGCATAATAGATTTTTTTTTTTAAGGACCGAAGCAGTTCAGGGCCACTTGAACCACTGGTCCCTTACTGCTCTGGGGCAGTTCCTGAAGCAGGCTACCTCCTGTACTCAGCTTGCAGTGAGGGTCTCTGCTGATCAGTGGACGATATTCAGCCTGTACGTTCCTTGACCAACTGAACAGCTGAAATCAAATGGGATGTTTTGTTTTCGGTTTGAAAAGCTACAGCATTTTGAGGGAGACTAACCCATCCTCACAGTCTTGTGCTAGTCCTCTTCTCAGTTTATTGATTTGGGCTGGTAGAGTCACTCAGTAGCGCAATGAATGTAAAAAGCAACAAAGCCCAACAGTTCTTTGTTTAAATGTCAGGCTTGCACCAGGGATAAGCCCAAGGAAACAGGCAGCTTTTCCTTAGGAAGAAACCCAATTAGGCAAGGATAATGTCCTCTGCTTATTGCCCCACTTCACCCCCGGGTTGGCTACCTTGCCTGAGACAGATGACCTTACCTTGGTCCTGAGAGGGGTGGTGGGCACATCTTTAGTGGAGACACAAAGTAGCACAATGCCCGTCAGTCCTGCTCCGATCACCAGCCAGGGGGGAAGGAGTTCGCGCCAAGACATGAAGCACTTTCTCCTTTTTCTGAAAAGTCAAAGAGGAAGCAGTGGAGCAGCAAATGCAAAGTCTGCATCTGACAGTGACTGCTTTTTACAGTCTTTAAAAAGAGGAGAAAGGCGGGGCCAAGGCCAAGCTTTGGCATCAGCCCAGCCCCAAGCCACAGGACCATGAAAAGCGCGTGGGCCAAGCTGTGATGTGTCAGGGAATTCTCCCTTCCACTATCCACACAATAAATAAAACTGAGGCTTGGTGCTGATTCCAGGGCTAGTTTTGCAAAGACATCAGTAGAGCCTCGAAACTGCTCCAGGCAATGGTGTTGAGGTAAACAGAAATGTGGGGTTAACTCATCTATTTAACAAGCAGAAAACTCATCTGTTTGGTATTCTGAGCTTGGCAGAGTTAGGAAGAATTCCAAAATTAGAAATGGGAAACTCCTTTTAGATGGATTTACTTTTCATCTGAGGGCCATGCTCAGCTCCAGCGTGGACCTCGGGCGCTTTCCTGCAAGCAAACGGTCTTCTGGGCCGGGAGAGAGAGCTGGCACCCTGCCGATTTCCTTCAAATTGCTCTTACCATCTCATTTACATTCAGGCGGCAGCTGGGACAGGAAAACAGCTGCATTTCTGGGGTTCTACACGCAGGAGACCCTGGCTGGCTTGGTCTTTGTTGTGGGTCCTGCTAGTCAAGCAGGGCTTTTGCTGGATGACAGTGGGGGCTGCTCAGGTGTTTTTTGCTGCAGAATGACCAGTATCAGCCTCAGTACCTGTAGGTCCCTTCTCTGTCAATCTCCTGCTGAAAGATAATCCCCAGACTTTACAAAAGAGGCACCCACTTCCTCCTTTCCCATGCCAAAAGCAAAAGTCCCCCAAACCAGAATTTCTGAAGAAAGATCTGTTAGGAAGGAGAGGTATTTCTTGCATGCTGTCTCTGTTTCCCAGGGAGTGGGTCTAGTAATAAAAGTGCAATTCCTGTAAAGAAAACATTTTAATTTCTGCCATCTGGATTGTTTATTGGCAAGGCCGGATGGTGGCATCTTGTCCCCATAGCCAGCAGAGGATTTCACTAGTCAGGCCTCCATCTACAGAATTAAAAGGATGACACATTCTTGGCGCAGAGATGTGCCTCTCCCAGTCTTACAGTATTTTCAAGGAAAGTGCCAAGGACACCTTTATCTTCCAGCAGTGCGGTCAGACTCCCGTTCAGGTTTTGCTGGTCCATAGCTCTAATGCATGTGCACATGCAGCACTGTTTACACCTGACCTAGCTAAGGCAGCAGCTTAGGGTTTGTATACATGTGGGCTGATAATGCTCCACTTTGCAATGGGGACACCAATTAAATTGCCTGAGTGCTGACGATCCTCCTTCCTCGCTGCTCTCACAGCTGCCCAGAACGACAAGCAAGCTTTCACGTAGCTCACCGGGAAAGATTCACAGAGCAGTGCAGCTTGCTGCAGCGTAGCGAACAAAAGAGGTGCCCCAGGCATCCTCCTGTCTCAAAGAAATGCTGCACGTGCACGTGGGGTCTGCGGAACGGCTGCTTGCACCGGGGGCGGTTGATCCGAGCGCTCGTGCCCATGGGCTGGTCGCGGTAGTTTATACCAGCGCCTTGCTATATCATCAACACCTAGGAAAATCCCGCAACTAGCAAGGTGTTGCCAGATCCTCCTGTGGTCAGGCCAGTCCTGCTTAGCTCTCATTAGAGAACTGTCTACGCGCAGAGCAGAGTCCAAATTCCAGATACTTAAACGTTCCCACGCTGTCGGGAGGGCAAGTTTTGCAGCCTGGCTCTGTGCCTAATGATCTGATGAGCTGCCAGAGGTAAAGGACCAGGTGTAAAAATTAGTTGACGTTTCAGAGTGAATTTAGCCAGAGATTCCCGTGAGATGGGGAAGAGAATGATCTTGGTGCCTGACTGCAGGTCTTAGGAAGGATGAAGCAGGCTAGCGGGAATGTTTTGTCCGTTTTGTAACAAGTATCCGGAAGCACGGGCTTGTGAAGGTCAAGTGATGGAAAAGGAAAGGCTCCTTCTCCTTTCTGAAGTTCTGCTTGCGCTTCCTGTTTTCATCAGCTTCTGCCAGAGGTCGGCCGAGAAGTGACAGCACAG